ATGCGACCGAATGTGTACTGGGTGTCCCGTGTTCCTCGCATCTTCACTCAAGTCTTTTTTAGGAAGAGTATAACTCGCGAAACACCTCGCGCCAGTTTTTCACCCCTTACTCCACAAATTTAATTTTCGAAGTAAAAAGTCAAAGAAGAAACACCACTATATATCAAGATATCAAAGAAAAAGATTTTTTTAATTAAGAAAGAGAAATACTTATATAATATTAATAATTAAATATAAAATTTTAATGGGACACATTTTTCAGATTGCAATTGCAATGAGCAAAATAAAAACTCTAAATCAAATTTGGCATACCCTGTATGTATGTACACAGGTATAGATTGGATTCTTCCTTTCAGTCCGAGATCCTATTACTCTTCTGGATGTTCTTTTATCTCTCTTATCGTAATCCTCGCATTGTTGAGAATCTGCGGATCCTCCAAAATTTGATATAGGGGATACAATATAAGGCGAAAAAATTTCTCGAAACGACGCATTTTAATCTGATCGATGGAAGGAGATGAAGTAAATTGGAAGCTTGAAAAGTGTCAAATTGACACGACAGCCAAAGCGACATTAAGCGGAGATACGACGGCAGAAGAGTGATATCGATTTTCGATCGCCGCTTTTGCAATTATTGGATTTCATCGAAATTTAATTTTCAAATTGCCCTTCCATTAGAAAAACGTCAATATTGCGATTGAGATTATATCCACGAAATATTTAACATCCGTAAAATTGCATAATTAATCCAAAAGAATTCACCAGAATATCGGTATTATAACTACATCATCCTGTTATAAAATTTACAAGATGTATGAATATTTGAAACAAATCTTTTCGAAATTGAGATCATTACAAAAAATGATTTTAATTAGTTAGGATATTGAGTATGGAAAAGATATTATATTGTAAAAAATATAATTTTATCATGATTATTTTTAACGACCTAATCAAAAGAAAATTAAATAAAAAGCAATTAATCTTTCAAATAATGACTTTATTATTTTTTTTAATTTTCCTTTGATTAAGATATCAATCGGAATTAGATTAAAAATTAATCATAGAATTTCAATATTTTAAATTTTTTACATCAACTTTTGCATCTAGCTAAAGTCATTATTAAGAAATCTAGAGTTTAAAAAGATCTATATTAGCTATTCTCGATATAACTATAATAATAATAATATAAATATACTCTTTAACTCTTTCTTTTCTTCGAAACCGACACTTAATTTTCTTTAAGAAATATGGCATATAAAAAGGCAAAGTGATTTAATGAAATGGCGCGTAGAAAGTTTATCAGATTCCAAAGAGATCGACGGTTAAAGAAAGAAAGTTCCGAAGTGAAGCAGGAAAGGACAAACAAGGCGCCGAAGCGTCGAGTAAATTGGACACGAAAAGCGCGTCGGACTTCTCGTAATTAGCTTATCGCCTCTGATAACACAACAAAACTTTCTATGGGTGGGTGCCGTCTTAATAATACAGCGTGCTAAGCAATACTGGTAGAAGGGGGGAGAGGATACGACATTTCCTCGCCCCTGCTGTGCAGTGTCAAACGACGAAACTCGGCAGGCGTGCTTCGCATAACTTTATGAAAGCTGGTTCGAGATACACGGCGGATTCGAGGCGAACAGATTCTCGCGAAAAGTCCGCGGTTTGTCTCTCTCTCTCTCTCTCTCTCTCTCTCTCTCTCTCTCTCTCTCTCTCTCTCTCTCTCTCTCTCTCTCTCTCTCTCTCTCTCTCTCTCTCTCTCTCTCTCTCTCTCTCTCTCTCTCTCTCTCTCTCTCTCTCTCTCTCTCTCTCTCTCTCTCTCTCTCTCTCTCTCTCTCTCTCTCTCTCTCTCTCTCTCTCTCTCTCTCTCTCTCTCTCTCTCTCTCTCTCTCTCTCTCTCTCTCTCTCTCTCTCTCTCTCTCTCTCTCTCTCTCTCTCTCTCTCTCTCTCTCTCTCCTTTTCTCTCTCACAAGGTTGCTTTATAAGGATATCTATACGACACAATCAAGAATAAACAATTCATAAAAAAGGAAGCAAATAAATCAGTTTAACTTAACTAAATCGTCTACAAAAGTTGATCCAATTAAATTAACAAATCAAATTATAAGAGATCATCGAAATTATATATAATTAAACGCAAAAGACACGAATTTGTAATGATAAAACATACAATTTTAAAACAGCAAATTATATATGCAAAAATAAATATTTGTTAATTAAAGTTTCGTTTAATTATATAACGCAAAATAAAAATCTCTGGTAAAACCAAGATCTAATTCTTCAAAATTAATCGATATGATTTTTCTCGCGTTCAATTTTGATTTTACGTAATTGAAAATGAAGAGCTTTTCTCGCGAATTAGACATCTCAGTAAAAAATTCGGTGATAAACGTCGTCCCCCGATATGTCGTTAGTGAAAGTAGAGGTTTATTTTCGTTTAAACTTTGCGAAAAAAGAGACAGTCCAAATTAGAGATACATCTCCCTCCAGCAACCCTACGGCGGAAATGAGTTGCGCTGGTTAATTTGTTCTGCAATTTTATGCCGTGGAAATAGTGCTTTAACGCTGCTTAACGCTGAGAATTTTAAGTTCTCTCCCAGATTCTTTGGTAATTTAGATACTTTATAATTCTTTATAATCTTTTATAACTTCTTCTTTTGTACGCGCAATTTTGTAAACAGATCTCTCTCATTTTCAATTAGTAGACAATCGCAATTAATAATGCAATTATGTTAATATATAATAAATAGAACATATTGCATTATTTCTAATTTTTATTACATTAAAAATATTCAATTATATTTTAGATTATTATTCAATTATTCGAACACAATTCAATCATTTAATTAAACTGTTGGATTGCAGTTATTATTGAATTATTATTTGATTATTATCAATATGATATATGTATAATTGTACTTTCAAGTTTTTCATTGTGAACGCTTGCCCCGGAGCACATCCCGACTGTTGCATTATATATAACATACGCGCATATATGACATATTGTATATCATATTATAATATCGTATATCGTAGTAAATGCAAGTGTTGTACATAACAATGTTATGTTTAGAGAAGCGTATGAATTATAAGCGGATCCTTTCTTTAGTAATAAACGATGCACATATGTGCGCGCGAATCTCCGAGGGACGGGTGATGGTTTTGCATTAATAAAGCAGCGAAAATTTAGAGATCACCGGTATATATATATACATATGCTGGATAATCCGGTGGAGTACATGAATATGCAAGTTTCGGGGGTTGCACGGCGTAGACGATAATTTTGTTTGAGACACGCGGATTTGCGTTAATTCCTCCTACTCCTTCGTGCATTAACCGCCCGTCATTTCGTCGCGGGTTCTATACTCTTGATGCACTTTCCTTGGTTCTTTCCCCCTCAACCCTTTCCACCCTCTCATCTCCCAGAGGCACGATTCTACGAATGAGACCTCCCACGCGAAATTTGCATGACACTCGTGAAATTTAAATGATTACTGACAAAGGAAAAACTTTGAGTTTGATTCAAAGGTTAATCATTGTTTCGTGTACTTAACAAAGTACACTTTGACCATTTGGCAACTAATTTTTTCCACCCTCTACTCCTCCCTCGGCGTATTTAAAAATAAATCTCTTTTCAAAATATACTTTAAGGATAAATTTAAAAAAGACCCAATCTTATTTAAATCTTAGCTTAATTTCTAAAATAAGCAGAATTTTTTATATTAAAAATAAAATTAGAGGTAACTAATTTACTTTGAAATAAACCATATTTTTTGTTAAATTTTCTTAATATCTTATCTAATGAAAAATTGTGTGTTTACATACTTTCGAGGATAAATAAAAATCTTACTGAAATTAAAATCTTCTAATAAAAAAATTACATTGCAAGAAGAACAGCTGCAAAGTAGATGGCAAAGTGTATTTATTACTCATTAATTATTTGCGCATAAAATGAGATTAACGAGTAACCTTTGGCGGAACGAGTTTTACAACCGGAAGTTGCTCGGCAGACTAAAGTTTTCGCGCGGCTACGTCCGTCAGATGTAAAACGTTTATTAACGAAGAGTGGGCGTATCAATTATGGCCTTTGGCAGCTTGCAAAAATAAATAATTGAAAAAAATGCGAGTGCATTCGCGTTTTGAGACTCGACGATACGCCGAGATTAATTATTAAACAAAGTTTAAAGGTCGGGTAAGGGGTAAGGGGGAAAGGGGGGAGGGGAGAAGGGAAAAGAGGAGATAAAATTGCGCTGGATAACATCGATCTCAAAATAACAGCTTTCTATTTGCTATAATATTACGCCACTTCCGCGTATATCGTCGTTCAGAATGCGAGAGGAACGGAAAATTTAATATCGAATAGCCCCGAATTGCCTCGAATGCAATCTAGCGAAGATTAAAGGAAAATTGCCACGCCCTTTACAAAGTTTACTTAACAAACTACGCATGCAAATTGCTTGTCTATCGACATCGTGCATGCCGGCGAACCGACGTATCGATGTCACCTCGATATTACGTCATACTAAGAAGCCAAGAGATGTAATGACAGTTTCGATAGATCTGATCAATAATAATTAAATCTTTGTACACGTATAAAATTATAAAGTATAATTCAATATATATATATATATATGCAATAAAATCTAATATGTTTAATAAATATCATAAATATACTTGCGTACATAATAAATGAGATGCAATTTCCAAAATATATATCCCTGAAACAGTTAAGTTTTAAAAAATATATATAAATATTTCGAGATTTTGATTAATCTTGCTATCATTAGGTGTACAACGGCAGCATCTCGGCATCAAAATCTGTTTAATACGGACAACATTCCGCGGGTATACTTCAATGCGCGAATAAAACATCGCGCAAGAACGAATGTCAAGATAATTGAAATTTATGTCCCGGCGAGCCAAGACACCGCTAATTGAGTCGTGGTTTAATTAGTCGCGCTTCGCGCGGGCAGCACAAGACTCACCCCCGCCGTTTTGCTGCTTCGCAGGATACTTTCCATTACCATCGGTCTATTGCCTTGCCTGGATCTGCCTCGACGTTCTGTTCTGTACCGCGAGCATAATGCACTTGTGCACCATAAGCGTGGACCGTTACCTAAGTCTACGTTACCCGATGAAGTTTGGACGCAACAAGACCAAGAAGCGGGTCACCCTGAAGATCACTTTCGTGTGGATCCTCAGCATCGCGATCAGTCTGCCCTTGAGCCTCATGTACTCCAAGGTAACCTCCGTCTTTATATATATGAGGTAGAATATAGTCTGACTAATAACTGTCTTTACTACTCGCCTAATATATTTATATTTCTAAAAATATAATTTTAAAAAATTATATGTATATATTTTTATATATTGTTTTTTTAATTATATTCTCAGATGTTTTAATATATTAAACAAGTATTAGTTAATTAATTATTAAGCAAGTAAAAAAAGGCAGTTATTGGTCAGACTATATTATTACCTCTTTCATTTCTTATGTAAAGTGTTCTTAAATTTCCAGATGTTCTTTTAATAATATATTTTCTGGCCAATTTAAAGTCAATTTTTTCTTAACAAAAATGTCAAGAAGAGTCATCATTTTTTGCAAGTTTCCAATTTTTTCCATCGTATATCTTTGTGATTGAACAAATTAAATTTCAATTAAAATAAACTACACTTGAAATTAATTGAAGAATGTAGTTTTGTCAACCTGTTAATTCTACAAAGTATAGTTTGCGAAAAGCCCTTCTTTTTCAATAACTTCTAACTATCGATGCCTCAATATTTTCACTAAGGAAATTGACCAGACAATCTATTATTAAAAGAATAAAAGGTGATTGTAAAACATTTCGTGTGCGTGTATATATTAATAATTAAAAATGTACTATTTGTTTTCTTTCTTTGTGACGTGCACAAATCTTATTCCGCTCGCTCTCTGTATCTTAAAAAAATAAACATCTCTAATTTCCAACGACCCCGAAACGTAACCGCTTGATAATTTTTTGCTGTGTCTCGCCTGGGGCAAGAATTTTTCTCAATTTTCCGTAACGATCGAAAGATTACAAGGAATTTTGCGCCCGCAAAATCTCTCTCTACGGCAGCGACGGACACAAGATCTCGACGACCAATAGTTTATCGCCGTTTGCGCGGGAAATGTCGCCCATCGATCATTCGTTGCGGGATAAGAACGGGATGGATTTATACGGAACTGCATCTCGCGCGCACGACGATGTTTTTCATTTCTCGTTTCGTAGGAATAATAACATATTTTTCCGATCGCGCGAGATTACGATTCATGAAACGAAATTCATTCATGAATGAACGACGTTACGCGTTATAAAACGACTGTCCGTTATTTCCCGTATGTTTCGCGTCCTTTTCATAAATTTTTCGACCGACCAACCACGCTTGTTTCGTCCAAAAAAACTTCGTGTAACTGTTGAAATTTCGCTGCCAAATGCAGCAAATGCGCGACATGTATTTCGAGAAACTTCAAGCTTTCTCTATTTTTGCACACCATGTTTTATCCAAAGTAATTATTTTACAGCTCAATTTACTCTTATTCTGGTATAAAGGAAACTTTTCCTGTCTTCGCTCTTCATTGTATATATATATATATTCTCTTTCATATACATTTTAAAAAGTGTGACAGCCACGTAAAAATACGGCGCGCTAGAACCAACTAATTACACAACAATGAAGTAATTATATTCGTCGCCCTTAATTTCCGCGAAACGAAAACGTGACGTGGCGGATTCGGTGGAAAATACGAGCGTTATGGCGTTCTCTTGGGAACGTGACGTGGTACACGTCTAACAGGTTATTTTCTTACCCCGAGCATGTTCATCGTCGTAGAAGCTGCCTCGGCTTGCAAACTGCTCTTGCAAATGTGCAAACTACTTTCGTTTCTCGCGAGCGTGCTATGAGAAAGAGCGAGAGAGAGAGAGAGAGAGAAACGAGTCGAGCACCGCCGCAGAACGCCGCATCGACGAGTTTGTCGGACGAGTTTCAGCAACTTTACAGCACCATTTACCAGCGCGTTGCCTTACTTGGGTATTGATCCAAATTTCGCGACCGCCATGTACTCATTCAAAATTCCATCCAACATCCGGAGTGAAATTTGTCGCCCGACGCGACAAAAATTGTATTCCGTCCTGTTAT